TATAATGATAAAACTGATGATCTTATAACTAATCATTTCTACTAGAATTCTCCAGTAAAATACTTAAGATATTATCCACAAGGTTTAATTCACCTTCAGGTCAGTATCTATTGAAATATCCAGCTTTGCTTATACAATTTGCTAATTATAAGACTAATACAATCTCTTAATAAAAGTGACCTCTCATTCACAAGTGATATGGGACGAAAACAATAAAATTTGCACCTCAATTAAGAAATTTTGTACTCCTATTTTGGGAAAGCAATATCATTTGCATGAACTGACAACTATTCTAACAATTAACTGTAAAATGCATTTCAACTTTTAAATGAAATCTTGCAAATGCAGTTTCATTTAAAATCAGTGATGGGAATGGCAGAACTGGTTCTTATCCATGAAATACAGTGATACAAAGTTAACAAAACCATGACTCTTGTAACTGACCTATCACCTGTAAAAGAAATTTCATTATTGGTTAGGTAATGACATGACATTCTATAAATGTTTTGCACCTGTCCCTTATAAATATTCTTGTCATTACCAAAGGGGCTCCTATCGTTGCTGACAATGTACCGGTCAAACAGATACTATATAGTCTATATTGTATAGTATCAGTATGATCGGTAAATTGCCAGCAACCTAGACCAACAAGTAAGTCTCTGCTTTTTTATCTTTTTTTTTTTATCCCTGACAGCAGCAGATATAATAAAAAAAAAAGCAGAGATCTACTTGGTCTATCAGCAACGATATGAGCCCCTGTGGTCATTACAGGTAGATTCGTACCATTGTTTAATAATTATAATACGTAGCGCCTAGACAAACTAAACTGTAAGCAACGATACGAGCCAAAACAAAATGACAAACATATCGCAATGAAATTACATACATTGTTTATATTTGCGCTTTTGCTAATTGTGATTTTCGACACAGAATCATCACGTGTACCGGAAGTTGATATGTCGAGAATCTTCTGCAGAGATAATTGCAAAACCAACTGTTCCACTTTTCATCCAAGAACAGACATTTAACAATCACTTAAATTGATACGGAATAGTTTACGATCTCCCCATAAACTATTTAAAGATACCAATTAATGACAGTAATGCTTAATTTAATTTAAAGAACAATATGGCAAAGATTACCAATGGTAAACAACATTATATTGGATACTATCTGCCTGAGATGGATTACTTTTCATTTTGTCTACATACTCTTTAAAGAAACTTTATCAATGATGTTATCCATACTTAATTTCATTTAAAGAACAATATGACAAAGATTAGCAAACTCAAGTGACATTTCTAAGTATACTATTCATCTCCTCTCTCAAAAACATAAAACTTATTTTGAATCTAATAAGCCAATGCAGCAATCATAAACTGTAGACCAACAAGTAGATCTCTGCTTTTTTTTTATATCTGACAGCAGCTGTCAGATAAAATATGCAGAGACCTACTTGTTGGTTTATCATAAACAGCATACTGCCATATTTTGCCATTTTTTACACAGCATAGTTACAGGATTCAAATTTTTATTGATGGTACAAGTCAAAGGATCACAGGAGCTCTAAATTAACATATTTGTATCATTGTCAATGAAATTACAAAGTTTTTATTTGTATGCTTTTGCAAATTATGTTTTCAAAAAAATAACATTAAAACAAAATATCAATGGTGAAAATCTGAAATAAAGCTCTTCTTGAGAAATTGCATGCCAGAAATAATGTTGGGATTTTGAATAACATTGATCTTTCTCTGGAAGTTTTAAATTACCTTGATCTTGCTCTGGAAATGTTATGCTGTGGTGTTGGGTTTGTTTTCAGTGAAACTTTAGCAGAAAATATCTTTAGATATTTTTACATTGGTGTTAAGAGATAAATTATGCATCACACAATATAAATATGCACCATTAAACACATGAAAATGCTGATATATCTTTTATTGTAATTAAATTTGTTGGTGGGGGATTCCATGGCAATTTTGTTTTCAAAGGCAGTCTATCATGTTATATAATTACCATCCTATTTCATTTTAAAATTTTAACATATATGCTAATTTTTTTAGTTTACAAGTTTACATTAAATATAAAGACAAAGAAGCATTTTAAACCAAATCTTATTTAGCAGTTATCTAAATAGTGATGCCTTTATATAAAGTCAGAGAATTAGACCCTGGAAAGATCTAGTAAATATGTGTTGGGTGATGTAAGTTAGCTATGTATGAAAGATTTGCATCCTTTATGACAGTAGCATGTCTTGTGTCACTGGGAGTCATGTACCATAAGGTGGACCAGTATAATGACAGCTCTTTTTATATAATTCCTTCAATGGCTTTGGTATATTGTAATTTTGCTTTTAATATACCTTTAATATATTGGTACAAACTTTATAGAATTCATTGCATCCCGAAAATTGTCTGTAAATTATTCATGAATTAAACAGCATGACCTCATTTGCCGTCTTGAGTGTTTTAATATTATAATTTTGAATCAGAGGAATTATCTCCAGTTACAATAGCCCATTTTATATCATGTGTTGCACACCAATGTAAATATCTAAAGATATTTTCTGTTAAAGTTAATTCCACTAAATTTATATATATTTATGTCTGAGTTTAACATTATAAAAGATGACATTACTCCAAAAAAGGAATGAATTTTCCGATTTTTTTTTAATTAAATAAAGATAGAATGAGCCTTTTTCAAAAAGCATTTAAATTCCATAAATCTAGTTAAATTGTTATCTACAAATACATTAAGTATATCATCACAAGAGCCATATTAATATAAAGTTTGGAAGGTTCTTTCTATCTATATCAATCCTTTGTCTTTTTTGTTTTGTTGTAACTATTGGGCTTTTTGTTTTTTCTTTCTGCATTTAAAATTATATCTTTTTCTTGACATCACATTTAATGTCTGTGAAGAGCATCTTCCACATTATTCTTGTTAATGCTTTTTTGGTATAGGAGGAAACAGAGCTTCCTATCTTAAAATGTATGGTGTTCATAATTAAATGAATAAATAAGGTCAAATTATAGAGCCATTGGGTACTCCACAATTATTTTTTATTCTTTCAGATTGGTGACCATTTAAAGATACTTTTGTCATACTATCCGTTGACTAAAAAAGTAAACCAGTCAAGGGAGTTTTCATGATATTGATATCTATTCCTTTTACTCAAGGAGTAGAATGGTATACAAGGTCAGAAGGTTTATGGTAATGAGTTGTAATAGATAATAGTACCAACAACTTCTCTATTACCTAATGATTTTAGCCATTTACCTGTCAAGCTCCGTAGAAAGACAGGCTGGTTAAAACAGCGTTCAAATGGTTGAAAAAATAATGTACATATTTATCTAGAAGAATAGAGATGGATATGTGGTTATTTCCATACTTGTTTGTTCCAGCTTTATTTAATGGAGTTATCTTGTCAGTTCTCCAAGAAATTTATGAGATATTCCTTTGCTTGCAATGATATACAGGGTATCACAGTGTAGAATGTGGTTTACACTTGTGGTTGCCTTGTATATAACCACCAACCTTGCAGAAAATGTTGGTGGGTTAAATTATTCTCTGCCACAAAGTTTGCAAACATTGTCTCTGCAAGTGCCACTTTTGCTCAAGTCTCAAAAAAGACCTTCAAAGCAGAAATGTTAAGAAGAACCAGACCTAAAATGCAGTGGTGTTCACACCATATACCTTTTTAAAACCACTCTTCATGAAACATAATGCGAACTAAAGATCTTTGATACACACATGCACACTCTTAAGCTATTTACTGCCTATCATTACTGAATTGGTAGTAATTTTTCTTACATTACCCAATCATAATACCATACATGAACTATTATTACCTTGCAAATCCAGTCTAAAACATTATGATTAAATGGTCAAAAGTTATCTGCCACCAAGGTGGTAGTAAGAGTGCACTCCCCTGGATACAGGCATTGGCACCAAATCCAGTGAATACTTAAGTTACTACTTCTGCTCATGCCAAGTTGCATGATCTTGACAAAGAGACTTTGCAACTGGTTCCCAGTTTTTCTATAAGTTCTTGCTGGATTCTTTGCTTTGAATGGAAATGTACTTAATTTAATACATGTATTTGGAACTTTTCTTTCTATCTTTGATGACAAAGTTTTGTCTTTTGCAGTGTTATCATTCGGCAGTGATTGAGTTATGTGCCTGCATGGATCTGATGTGTGATATAGATAACTCATTGCTTTATAACTTCTGCTATAGGCAAATACATACAAATTTCCCAATAGATTTAGCATTTCATATTCCATGCTTGACAGAATTTATCTTTAAAAATTGAGTTTTTAATCCACTTCATAAATATCAATTTTGATGGTTCAGTGGGGTACTGTTCTTGGGAAGGTACAGAAGTACACTTTGAGGGATGAAGACTCCACAAGTATCCATGCAATCATGTTGTGATTTGGATAGGCTGAGGTGTAACATGTTTTTATAGGGTATAACTCTGTATGGATGCTTCATAAAACATGACACAAACATGATACCTGTTTATATTTTCTGCTCTATATTTTAAAGATTAAGCCATGTGGAAGACTAAATACAAGATGTGTAATCATTTGTAATACCTGACTGACAACCGTCCTACATGTGTAGTTTGCTTCTGTTGCAAATCTAAGAACGCACATCAATTCTACTCGGTGTAGACTGAAGGTCTATGGGGTACTGTTCTTGGGAACGTACAGAAGTACACTTTGAGGGATGAAGACACCACAAGTATCCATGCAATCATGTGATTTGGATTTTTAATATATCTTTAACAATTTTTCAGTCATATCCCTACAATGTCTGCAATGTGGCAGTTTATAGTGATGTCTCCCACTGGGGCATCATGCCGCAGACATGTAGCATGATGTCCCACCCAGTCACATTATCCTGACACCAGGCCGACCAGTACTAACACTAAGCTCTTAATGCTGAGCACTAAGCGAGGCAGCTGTTAGTACAATTTTTGTAAATCTTAGGTATGACTTGGTCGTGGTTCAAACCCACGACCTCCCGCATCCAAGGCGGATGCTCTAAAAACTAAGATACCAGGGCAGTCATGGCTTCAGTGCAGGGTGTGCATTCCCACAATACACTGGTTCATTGGCCACAAATCACCATAAGCCATCAAGTTTATATATAGTTCCAGTTCCTTCTTCATAACATAGCAGAATAAAGATTCACTGGCAGAACAAACAGCTCATTCATCACATCGGTTCCATGCAATATTATTGGATGGGAAGCAAGAAAAAGATCAAAACAAAGTAATGAACACTTTATGTGATAAAACTATTTTATTGCTGAGTAGCATACTAGTTAAAAATAACAAGAAATTGATTTAAAATTAATATATTCAATATGAAACTGCTTCAAGTTGGTTACAAGTCTTGAGTAGTCATCATTATCAATGGATATATGTGCTGTGTGAAGTAAAGAAAACAAACTGAGCAATTCTGCATTAATTACTTTGGCGTCAGAGCCATTTTAATAAAGCAGATCATTCAAGTTTACATTTTTAATTGCAATAAATTTCAATTGTTCACCTTTTATAAACAAATCACATATATTTACACATTATTTGAATAACATTAAATGTTAAATTAGGTCAAATTTTAATAAATGAAGTTTGTCTTTTAAGCATCATTAAAAGTGTCCTATTTAAATTGTTGTATCATTTAATTTGCTTTAGTAAACCTAAAATGGAAGTTTAGTTACATTCGGTAATCGTGATTAATAGGAAAATGCAGCCAAGTTTCAGTAAACATAGTAGTTACCATATTTTAGGTTGATATCATTGGTGCACTTCTTCAATGATAATTTAATTGTATTAATATCTCCTAATGTTAGATTAATTACAGGATATCAGCTATAAAATGAAACAATTACATATTTTCTGTGAATTATGTAGAATAATTATCATGATATTTAAATAATACATTTCACCAATACTGATTTAGAACTTGTTCAACCATTTCCATTCAAAAAAAAAATGCAAAGTCAATATTATAAGTTGGTGCAGTCATTACCACAACCTGTTGAAGTCAATATCAAAATATGATGAAGGAAGCCAAGCAATAGTAAATGGTTTTATAGGATCATTTCAGCAATGATAATTTCTTCCTCAACAATCAAGTGTAGAAAGCAAAGCATGATTAAATGAAATTATCAATGAATCATTGCAATAAGCATTGCACAGTTTATCTCCCACTGGACTAACTTGGACATAATTTATTCACCACTGTTCCAACACTTCAATTAATGTACATTCGTCAGAGCTATGAAATGTTTTTACATGCTACAGTCTTTTGTCCAAAATAATGTCAATACAATTAAGCTAGCTATCGGCATGGCACTGCAATCCTCTGGTCCTTTAGATGCTTATTAACAGCGCTAACACATTTTACTCTCGTTTCTTGTTTGCATAATAAATCTACCAAATACTAATGATAGTCAATAACAAACACCAGTGACAAAAAATTTACAATTTCAGAGGAGAATATTTTTTTTAAAGCAGACAAGGCCAAATCAAATCGGAGTACACTGCATAGATTGGTACTTGTCTATTATCTCCCTTTGTTCAATATCAAGACTTATGGTCTGAATCACACACATTATTTGTGTTGCAATTTTAATCCCTTGGTCTTTTGAAATTCTTTTTAATAACTGTAACACATCTATTCTCATTTCTTTCTTGTCTAAGCAATCTAATGAATACTAATGAAAGTTACTAATAACTGAGATGTGTAAAATGGTAAACAATTCACAGAAAAACAATGCAGTTCTATCCTTTATAAGGTCAAGTCAAAAGTAGAAGAAAATTCAAATGGAGTGATACTTGTCTATTATGTCCCTTTGTCCAGAAATTGGCATGTAATTAGATATGTGACTAAATCAAGACGCCATCTTACTTTCAGAAAAATGTTGTATTCTTTTAGGGTGAAAGCATTCATAATAACTTAAATAGCAATTAAAGGTGACCATCTTTAAAGTTTAATTTCACAACTTACAAATCAAAGATACATGGACAGGTAGATTGAAACTGTAGAAACAAAATCACAGTTCCTGTAGCTTCAATTTTACTGACATTTCAAATAGGCTATTTCTGCAGGGACAAAATTTCACAGATATATCTGTGGCCACATAATATAAGACAGTTAATATAAGTTTTATTATGGTTTTTAATTTCACTGAATTAATAAATGCACAAAACAAAATTAAATCCTCAATGAAATGGTTTTTGATCTTAAGTACACACACACACACATACATAGTCGAACTTACAGATGAATAACAGAATAACATAAAAAAGATACAAACAGACAGGTAGAAACCTGATTGTATGTAGAGAGGACAGCAGGCTGATAGGTGAAGAAACATGACCTAATTACTAAGAATTTAGATCTGAAAGTATATTGTTACACAAGAACATGAAAAAGTAGAAATATAACTCTAGAGTGGTTAAGTGCTGTCACTCATAGTGGTGAATAGTGGTTAAGTGCTATCACTCATTACAAAAAAAACTGCAAAATGCCTCTTGCAGGATGATGAATCTAATAGTAAACTGTATAGACTCAATTTCGAATAATGTCAAACTATAAACATGTGCTGGCAGATCAGGTCAATATTGTTCTACTGATTAGTCCCAACAAACTACATAGACCCAAATCTGCTAGCACATTATGTGATGGCAGAGCTGTGTCTGTGCTGCTTGCAGCTGGACTACACAGATAAGCTAGTACATATAGTAGCTTTTAATAGTTAAATGGTCAATGAAAGCACTGCAAATTTTCATGGTTACTAGAGGTCACTAATTTAAAGAGCAAACAAATAATGATCCATCTGTATGTATGTGTATATATATATTAGAAACCTTTTTATTCCAAACATTACCAATGAAAAATATATTTTCTTTTGATCTGTTGTTGATACCCACAAAAACAAATTAATAAGAGACCTTTAAAATTTTGCCATACTGAAATAATACTCAAATTACAGATTTTTTTTGAATAATAGCTGAAAATATGAACACTGCAGTCAAATGCATAGATGATTGTCTGGATCTGGGATTTCCTATTAGGTTCAGTGGAGTTTGTCAAAGAACCAGACTAAGATTACAAGAGTGCCTCAGATGTATTACTTGTCTATATGTTTCTTGCAAAACGTCTGTTTGATCAAGCTCTTGCTTTTTCATTAAAGCATGAATTGGAAATGTCACCCATTGAACAAAAGGCAAAGAGACACCTTAACCTTTTAATAGGTCTAAACAATTGGCACAAATGAAATAAAGGAAAATAAACCTATTAAAAGGTCTAAATAGATGTCTTAAAGGAATAAGCAGATAATTTTTCATGCTTGCCCTCATTTAGAACTGAAGTTCTTGAAACAACTGAAGGTTAATGCTAACTTGTACTTTATGAACATTTTAACTAAACTTCACATAGTCTTTCTTGCATATGACCACACTTCTAATTTTTTTTTAAACATGTTTTCAGTGTTGACAACAGTATTATATAATAATTTAGTATATTTTACTGAAAATGGTCTGACATGTTAAAAAATACTGCCCACCTTACTAAGGTCTTTGCAGGGACAGCAGGTCTTTAATAACAAAAACATAAATTATATTCAGATGATGGTCCGCTGATCCAGATGAGTGAAAAGTAAAAACAATTATTTAAGAGATTATCTGGTGTTTTATATTTACATATTCTTTATATTCATTAACATATACAGCATTTTCTTTGTTCATGATATGTTCAATCTGTGTTTGAGAACATTACAAATAGCTTCAACACAAGATGGATTAAGAACACTGTCAATTACATCAATTGGAGTTATCTTGCAAACTGAATCAAAAAGATGCCTATTTCTTGCATTTTCCTTTGCTTTGTCAGTTTCATATTCCAAATTCAATTCAGCCTCATGATCTCTCATGAAACATTGAACAACCTCTGCATCGGAGAATCCATAATTTTCCTGCAGGAATCGGATATAATCAATGAATGCATATGCAGGTACAGTTTTAATTTCAACCAGTCTTCTTGTCAGTTCTGCATGTTCTTTGTGTAATGAAACATTGTTAATATTTTTTGTCCCTAGCTTTAACTCTTCTTTGCTATTAATTTCTTCAGTGTGCATCTTTTCTTCTGCATCTCTGAAGGAATATCTGCATAAACTGGCATGCTTTATATCTGACTCTTCCATATCAACATATCTCTTAATTGGTCCATACTGTTTTTTTGGATCATGCACACTGTTGATATCTCTGTTGCTATTTTCGTACTCATTGAGACTTTTGATGTCAGCCTTTCCTCCTGAACAAGGGTGGTAATCTTCAACCTTCAATGTACTCTCACTAATTTCTGAAAGATTTGTATTTAATGTCTCCTCACTTGTATCTGAATCCAATAATCTGTTTTGTATGGCAGTTTCAACATTGGTGCAACTTGTACCAAAACAGTCTTGCTGAGTTGTGTTATTACAGTCACAAATATTTTTTCTTTTTTTTCCACCTACATTCTTTACATGTGAATTTCTATGCAAAACTTTCACACTGTGACCTCTAAAAGCCTCTACAAATTTCATAAAATGATCACTGGATTGTGACAAGTTACTTTCTGAGCCAGATGTACTTTCCCTTTTGTTACTATCAGAGGCTTCGCTAGACATCAATTCTTGTACAGACTTTTGTAAGAAGGCAAAGTTAACTTCTGGACTTGTCAACTCCTTAAAAAAAACGAACAAGATTTTGAGTGTTTAGACAAGATATCCCATGAGACACATTAAACAGCTACTGCAAGGTATAATTTCTATTGCAAAACAAATTAAACAGCTACTGCTAGGTATAACTTCTATAGCAAAATACATTAAACAGCTACTGTAGGATATAATTTCTATGCCAAGTCAAATTATAAACCTACTGCAATGTATGATGATATATATGGCAAGAAAAATCACTGGAGTAAACATATTCAGTATTTGACATGAACCCCTTAAGACGGACATAAGGTTAATGTCCACACTTTGATCATTAACAATATAATCTGGTCATACAACTTC